GCTCCTTCTCCAAGCTGAGTCCCCCCTCTTTCTTCTGGGCTCTCTCAGCAGCAGAGTGTCTGCTCTCTGTTGAATGTTGCAGATAAAATCATGTTCTTGGACTTTTTTCTTTTCTTAGGTGAAAACTGTGCTTCCATTTATTCTGAAAGGGAAATAAATTGAAAAGTAAAATGCTATTGGCTATTTCTGTCAGTGCAGGAAACTATAAAACAAGCACCCCCGGTTTCGTAGCTATTGTGCTCAATAGAGTTCTGGAAACTTCAGAATGTTATTGTATGAAACAATTTGTCACATTTCTTGGAATTAAGGACTAAAATCAATATTTCTGTATTCAGTGTGCTTCTTATTTGTTCTTGAAAGAAGAATGGGAAAGCATGGGAAGTGCTTACACAATGCCAAATACAAAAAAAAAAAATCAATCAACATTTATTATTATCAGCATCACTATATCAAGATGTATAAACCGTCAGAATGCTCTCATAGTGCAGTTTAACTGAGCTGTTGCTTCTTTCCTCTGCTGCTCTAGAAAAATGGAGTGCAACTCTTTCTCATCACTTCCTGGGAAACATTTCCAGTTTAAGCTATTTCTGCCTTTCAAGTTTTGCAAGGCTGTGCTGTTTATGAGACTTTGAGGCCAAATCTTAAAGAACAAGAAGAATTGAGTTTCAGGGACACCACGTGAGCCTTAGAGAAGTGGGGAGCAAAGAGAGGTTCTCCATAACTAGAAAAAGCTCCTGCGAGGCTGGCCAAGAATCAGACAGCTGGACCTTGGAAACCTAAGTCTGACGGAGATGGAGACCAAGGACATCCAGGCAGAAGGGAGCACAGCTCCATCCGGTGTTGCTAGCCATACTGGGCAAGGTTCAGAAACCACAGTACAACAGCAAAAGTAGAATTTTAAAAATGGTTAATGCATATTGGCTATCAGTCATTTTAGTATAATCCAGTCACCCTCTTGAGTGGGCATGGAGTGTCCCAGAAGTAGGTACTCCTGTGAATAAAATCTGATCAGAGAAAAGAGGACCAAATGCACAAAAAGAAGAGAACTTCATTTCTGAGATTGTGCAGGTTGCCTTGTTTCTGCTGTGGCAGCAAACCTTGAGCAATGCACTGTGGGAAAGGACTCTTCTCCTCTCTAATGCCCATTGACTCAGGCAGACGAATGCTCTGTTTTTTTGTGGCTGCAGAACTTCCGTCACAATGTCAGGGGGAGAGGAAAATACAGTGTATATCCCTATGCCTGTGTTCGGAATTGACACATCATTTCTACCTACAGCCCATTCCTCAAACTGGTCCCAAGATCCTGAGTAACTGTCAAGGCACAGGGAAGTTTGGGGAAGCACTTAACACTCAGAGGGCAGTGAAAGTCTCCACGACACAGAGCTTGTCTAGCCTAGTGTTTTTCAAACTGTGCCTCGTTGATCCCTGGGCTCTGCAGAGGTGTATAACCAGTTCTGTGGATAATGATGTACAATCAACTAAATGCTGAGTCAAATTTATCATCTTTTATCTGCTTTTTTTTTAATTGGGGGATCTGTAAATGAATATGTCGTGGAAAGAAGTTTTGTTGCTGAAAAAAAACCAGAAATTTACTCATTTGTTCCATTGTTTGCCTTCAAAGAACGCTTCAGTTACACCATTGCACTCAGAGGACTGTTTCATTAGTCACTGAACATCCTTCAAGGGCGCGTAACATGACATTTCTCCTGCTTGGATTTCAGCCTCTTAAACAGCAAAGTCAGGATGTTATCTCCACGTACCTATATAATTTGAAACATGACTCTCTTTCACAGCAACAACAACAACAACAAAAAATCTAAGGAGCACCTGCATGAATTGTGAGGCAAACTAGCTATGTGACCTCCAGTAAGTCACTCAGCCTCTCTGAGCTCTACTTTCTTCATTTATAAAATGGGGATGGTAGTAGAAACAGACCTATGCATTGTATTGTTGTTAGAATAAAATAAGTGGGTGGATGAAATGGGCTTAGGAAGTTCCAGGCACATAGTCATTAATCGAATGATCAAAGGTCATAGTGGTGGTTTCTAGAAAGTGATAGGCATTTTGTCAAGAAAACTAATTGCTTACGCCTAAAATTGTACTCCTGTCCGTTATAACCCATATCCATTTATTAAAATGCCAAGAAATAAGACTGTAAAATGAATAAAACCCTAATAAGTTTTAAAAAGTTATCCACCCCCAATAGTTAGTGGAGAAAGATGGAAACATTTATTCTAAAAACATTTTTGAAACAAAGGATACTGTCCTAAAGAAAGCCAGGTGTCCTGGTCCACTCCTATCTGTGGGCTCCAGGCTGCTTCACCAAGTCTGATCACCCCGTACACAGTGTTCACTTGCACCTCAATTGTGATTGCTGTCCAGCGTCCTCCACTGGAGCCAAATACATAGCCAGAACTCTACTAGAAAGGAAAACCACTGTTCAGGGTTACTTCCCACTATGGTCTGAATGTCTGTATCCTTGACCCCACCAACTCATGTTAAATACTAATCCCTAAAGTTGATGGCATTAGGGATGGGACCTTTGGGAGGTACTTAGGTCTTGAGGATGAAGGCAACCTAAGGAGCATCAGGTGAAGGAGGACATAGAGATAAAAAAAAGCTAATAAATATAGTCAGCTGGGGAACTAGGCTCTCTGTGATGCTGAAAAATAAGTGTTGTGGGAATAAATGAGAAAGCTAGGTGGGTAGAAGGCTCTGGCCAGAGTTAGATTGTCTAGATTTAAAGCCTCAGAGGACAAACAGTTATGGGTGGAATGACAAGTTCTAGTGCAGGTATGTGCTGGGTGACTGCAGAGCTAGTTAGGTAAAGAGAATGGAATTCTGAATGTGGTTTTGATTATATTTTAACACAATGTGAGACCACCTAGATGCAGAACATCCCTGTGGAGATAGCCAGTGTGGCATGTGATTAAAAACAACAACAACAACACACACACACACACACACACACACACACACACACACACCAACTCTCCTTTCCCTTGTTCCAAGGAAAGAAATGGACACAGATTTTAACTTCCTTTTTATTTGGTAGCAGAAACAAGAGTTTATGCATTTACTGACAGAACTGCAGAATTAAATGGTGGCGCATCCTTTTTTTAACTTGCATAAACTTGACAGCTAACATTCATCCTGATCGAGCAATGATAAGCTAAACATTAGCCCTGAGTGGTTGCAAATTCAGCTGAAGTGTGCATCATATGCTAATGCAGCGTTTCACTGTGAGCCTTCCCTGAGAACACACCTGGTGTCTTTAGAGGAATTTGCCAGATTAGTCTGCAACTCTCAGACCTGCTGGGGACTTCTACATTTCCTCAGTCCCTTCGGTCTCCAGACCCCTGAGCCTGCAAAGCTGATTTACAAGCTGCTGCCTAAGCTTTAAAATCACTGTATTAGTCTGGAAGAGTTAATATACTCTGACTACTTAGTTTTCTGCTAGGGAATCATCTGCTCGTTGGTAGGAAACAGTTGACTAAGCAATCATTATCATTTGATTGCCATGAGATAATTCTAGTGCAGGGAGCAAATAATCCAGAGGACAGCATGCACTACAAAGCTTACTTACTGTGAAATAAAGAAGGAAAGCAGCTTTTTATTTAATACTAACGGACAAATCATGACATCACTGACCACTCTGTTATTATTGTTATATTTTCTCCTGAACATGACAGAATTTCTTTTCTGGATTTCACAGAGAACATTTCAGGCATAAGTCTCAATAATGGAGCCAAATGTTGTTATCTGCCTTGACACATCATTATATTTGTGTTTCTATACATTAGCAAAAATAGTATCTTAAACTGTGATTACAGACACATTGAGTCAAGAGTGCTTTCACCTTAATTGAAATACATACAAATGAATATATCAATCTACACACATTTATTAAATATGTCTTATAGGGAAGATGCTGTCCCAGATGTAGTTGAGTGTAGAAATGAGTGTTAAGACTTGATCCCAATCTTCACAGGTCTTAGAAACCTGTGAAGATTGGGAAGATCTTCATTTTATTTTTACTTTTTAAACAATATGATTTTATTGACTTTAGAGAGAAGAGGAGAGATAGAAACATTGATGAGAGAGAAACATTGATCAGTTGTCTCCTATACACTCCTACCAAGGATCAAGCCTGCAACTCAAGCATGTGCCCTAATAGGGAATTGAACCAGTGACCCTCCTGGTTCACGGGGTGATGCTAAACCGAGCCACACTGGTGGGCTATTCATACTTTTAGCATCAGCCATGTTCACAATAAAGAATTATAGTGATAGAGCTTGATAATTCCAATTGCTAGTTAAGAATCATATTAAGAAGAAATAGCCCTAACGGGTTTGGCTCAGTGGATAGAATGTCGGCCTACGGACTGAAGGGTCCCAGGTTCCATTCTGGTCAAGGGCATGTATCTACCTTGGTTGCGGGCACATCCCCAGTAGGGGGCGTGCAGGAGGCAGCTAATCTATTTTCTCTCTCATCAATGTTTCTAACTCTCTCTCCCTCTCCCTTCCTTTCTGTAAAAAATCAATAAAAATATATGTTAAAAAAATACATATTTCCAGAAATCATTATTTAATGTTTTTTATGCCAGCCTTTCTCAACACAGAAATTTAAGTATGTTGCCTTCATGGTGAATTAATGTATTCAGATTTTCATTCAAATGGCATTATTATTATTTGAGGTCCTAATATATAATAGTTTTACATAAACCAAATTCCAACTTAAGAAATTCTTCTTCTTCTTGTTCATTTAAACATTTTCTGTAAATCACATATTCAGGTTTTCATATCAGTGAGTGATGTCAGATTCTTGGTCTACTCTTGAGGTCGCAAACACAGGCACCATTTGGACATTTTCTTGAACTAAATACTAAAGCAAAGGCTCAGCAGCACGTTTTAGTTGAGCTCAGGTCTCGGTGCTGCCAGGCCCGTGGGTGAGGGCAGTCACCCTCCAGAAGGCCCGGTCCTCCGTGACTCCAGAAGATGTCACTTTCTTTGTCTATATTCAATTCGGCATCGTCCTTCTGGCTGCTGAACACCCACCAAATGGAGGGAACTCTAAGAGCAGAAATGCAGAAGAAATGTGGACATTAAGAGATAGACAAAACCAACAGTTTTAGTCTGACAGTTTATTCAGTTATAATTATCCCTAAAAGATACAGAATTTACATTTAGAAGATTGAAAGTGTTTATGTGATGAATCTTATCAATTTGAGCTTCCCATTCAAGAGACAGAAAAGAAGGCAATCCCTTCTTCTAATGGCCACCCTCATCAGCTACCCACCCTTCACTTTGTCTGGCTACACAGGATACCACAAACAAGACTCTTTCTACATTTCTGGCCCCTAACTGGGACACCTTATTTACAATCTCTGGGTGAGACCTCTATGCCATGTAATAGAAGTTTAAAAAGAAGGATGACATTAACCAACTGAGCAGGTATAACTCGTTGGTTGGGTGTCACCCTGTGCAACTAAAGGTTGCCATGTCGATTCCTGGTCAGGGCACGTGCCCGGATTTCGGTAGGGAGTGTGCAGGAGGCAGTGGATCCGTGTTTCATTCTCCTACTGATGTTCCTCTCTCTTTCTTTCTTCCTTCCTTTCCCTCTAAAAATTAGTATAAAATCTTAAAAATAAAATAAAAAGCAAATGAGGTATGGGTGGTATGAATGAATCACTATTACAATATACCCAAGGTCCTAACTTCCAGAAGGATATTTTGTGGGTTCCAAATGTTCTGATTTCTTTCTCTCTAGTTATGAACAAGGAATAAATGTGAATGGAGATGAGAGGTGGGCAGTTTATTGTAAATAATACAGCGGTTGCTGAGGCTTGGGAGCTTGAAAAAGAAAAGCTATCTATTCTGCCAACCGTGAGGGTTGAGGGGGAGATGAGAAGTGAGGAAGGAGGAGATGGATCCAATTTAAGTCATCAGTCTACCATCAAGTGTGAGTGCAACATGGCCGGGAACGGGCTCCTTAGCCAGGAGCCTCTCAGGGGAGTTGGTAGGATGAGTGCAGGGTTTCTGTGGATCCTGTGGCATTCCAGCCACAATTCTGTGTGTATGAAGAGGAGTGGGTTTTTCTAGAATGGGAATCCAGAGGTTTTATACCACCTACTCCACCCAAATGTATAAGAGACTAAAAATCAACCGAGCAAACAAAACCAACCCCACTGTGTTAATACAAATGTGCTTGCTTTTGCTACCCAACCATGGACTCTGGAAACTTTGTGTTTCCTTATTGTTTGGTTTTTAATGGGAGAAAATGGAAATTCAATGAATTTCTTAAGATCTCCTGAAGTAAAATAAAACAATGGGCTGTTGCAAAATTAAATTGGGGATTCTAGCATTTGATTTTTGCTATTATGACAAGCATATTTCTTTTCAAATCCGGTAGTCTCTCTGCACATGACAAAATGTTCAGAACATGCCCTGGCAACCGTCCCCTCTCGTATCCTACAAGAACATGGACATTTGAAGGTCATTTCCTATGGTTTTTGATCACCTCATTTTACAACTTAGTAACACAGGCCCAATAATTACATAATTTCCATTGATCTTTCTCTTTCTAGAATAAGAATTTATGAAATAGAATGCCCTTTGAGATCATGAGAATTTACTTAGCCCTGTACTTTTGACAAACTAAGATAGCACGCCTTTAAAAAAAAGTTCTTAGTCATATCACACAGAACTAGGATGTATGTAAAATAATATAATAAATACAACTACCGGTAACAGAATTTTTAGCTAGGAAGGAAGTGCTGGGAATATTTTGCCTGGGGATCTGGTCATAATGACTGATTGGGGTAATGTGTCTCTGACAAAGATTATCGTTCTGATCTGAAAAGGAGCTTCTGTGTCTTGCTGCTGGGGAAATAGTTGACATCCCCGGTAAAAATGTGACATCTAACTTGGGAACCAGGGACTAGGGACCAGGATTTGATGCCTGTAAAGCCTGGCCCTGATCTTCATTTTGCTAAAACAAACAAACAAACAAACAAACAACCCTGTCTTCAGCTGAGAACCTGTGTGAAGGGTATTTGACTCCTGTTTCCTTGGAGGATTCTAAAAGCTCCTCATGACTGATAGTTACTTGTTCTCAAAATAGAAGCACAAAAGAAATTAGGGGAAAGTGCTGAAAGGTGCACTTTTGTGAGTAATACAATATTGTCTGTATCACGTATGCACTTACATAATTTCTATTGAAATGTCACCCAAGGGTTTTATTTATCCTTCCATAGATTAGCCTCATTATATCAAGCTTAAACCAAAACACAAGATGCTATGTGAATAGCCCTTTGAGTGCAATGCTTAGTTTTTTAATTTCACTTTTAGTTTAAATAGCACCTTTTATCCAGAATTTTCAAAATGACTTCCAAAAATTTGGAATTAAATTGCATTTCCCCTTGGACAGTGGTCCTCAAAGTGTGGAATTCAGAGCATCATCATCAGCAGGACCAGGACTCGTTAGGTATGCAAATTCTTGGACTTCTCCCCAGATACAACGGATCAGAAAGTCTAAGGGTGGGGCCAGTATTCTGTGTTCTAACAAAGCTCCCAGGTGATTCTGATGCTCCCAACAGTTTGAGAGCTATTGGTCTAGGAAACAGAACTATAGAAAATGATGGGAACATTCAAAGGTCAGAGGCTGGAAAGGTCAAGGCCTTTTCACTTTTGTCCACTGTTTTTACACTGGGTTCGTTTTCTTCCATGCCATTCTTTTCAAATGGATCAAGGGCTACAACAAGCTTATTGTAGCTGATGGTTCACTTTTGGACCCACAGCCATATCTTTCTAGGGAAACAAGCCCAATATCAAGGCCATGTTTATCTAACCCTGGAAAAGAGATTAACATTGGTAAACTCATTGAAGAGGTCCCAAGACTGAGTGGTAGAAATACTGCTATAGGGCCCTGTTCTTGTGATGATGGAGCAGGTAGATTAGATGTGGAATGAAAGGTATCTTCCTTCTTAGTCTAGTTCAATGTTAGACACTTAAGATAAGAGAGGGAATGAGTAGCTCATCTCTACTAATTAAAACCAATATGACAAAATAAATTGATGAACAAAACAGATCCAGAGACATAGAAGCAAGGACCAGACTGAGAAATCTCATAGGGAAGGTGAGTAGATGGGTAGGAAAAGATTAATGAGAGAATTTGTATGCATATATATGCATAATCCATGGACACAGACAATAGTGTGGTGAAGGTCTGGGTATGGGCTAGAAGGGCTCAATGGGGGGAAAATGAGGACATCTGTAATACTTTCAACAATAAAAATTTTTAAAAAGATAAAAATAAAACCCAGGGGTGAAAGTTCATATTAAATTTAAAAGTCATACTATTCAAAATTCTGAAAATACTCACCTGTTTTGGCAATGGGTCCAGAAGACTGCAGTCATAATAATAAAATAATAAAATAATACACATTTCAATCTCTAACATAGCAAACCATCTGCAAGAAAAATATAAAATTGTTACTTGGTTATGAAAAGTGCATAAGTATTCTCTACCAAAGAGAATATCTAGAAAGTACACATATTTCAGAGCAAATATGCTCTTCTTTGCAATATAAGTTTTTACTGTTGAAAGTATAAAGGAAGACCTTAGTCTTTGCTTTCACAGGATGCCTCATTTTATTGTGTTCCACTTTACTGCATTTCACAGATGTTGTGGTTTTACCAATTGAAGGCAAGATCTCCACCAGCAAAAAAAAAAAAAAAAAAAAAAAAAAAAAAAAAAAGATTATGATTCACATTACTGGGGAGGTCTGGCACTGAACTCACAATATCCCTGAGATGTGCCTATATAAAACTGTCTACTCAGTAAGATAGTTGGGATGATGAAATTGTTTAAAAATGTATGTAAGAAGCTTAGCCAATACAAGCTTTTAATAAATGAAAGCCTGGTTCTCTTTCTAAGCTGAGATCTGTGCTTTCCAATATTATAACCGTTAGCCACATGTGGCTATTTAAATTTAAATAAACAAAAAAAATTCAGTTCCTCAGTGCACTAGCCATATTTCAAGGGATCAATAGCCATAAGAGGCTATTGGATACTATAATGGACAGTACACATTTAGAACATTTTCATGATCACAGAAAATTCTATTGGACAGTCTTGTCGATCTAGACACTTATTACCCACTGAAATTTATTGCCTAAATGTTCTATAGGCACCTCAAGTTCCCCCCAAATTATGTACAAATACTACTGTATTAGTTTACCATCTACTCTGTAAGACACATACAAATAGAAACAAACAAACAGAACAATGGAAATGGAATTCCATTTATTTTTCTTTTACTCCAGTAGGTTGTCTTGAATTCTCCAAAGGGTATTCAAACCATTTTAGAGGTCATAGCCCTTAATGAATACAATTAGCCCAAGAGGTTGGAAAACTGGAAGTCATCATCGATTCCATCCTCTCCATCACCCTCCATATCCAATTAGGCACTGAGACCATTTTCTGTATCTTCTAAATAATTCCCCAGTCCCTCTCTTCTCCCTTTGTCTCCAGTACTTCCACTTCTCCTTCAGTGTGGTACTTCATTTATTTCATGAATCAGATAATTACTGAACCAGTTTAGCTTCCAGATTGGTCTCTCTGCTTTCAGTTTCACTTCCCTACACTCTAGCACTGGAGTGAACTTTCTAAATCTTAAATCTATCATTCTACACACACACACACACACACACACACATGGCATGAGAGAGAAAGAGAGATGCTTCCTATTTTCCTCCAAATGCTATAGGAGAACACAACCAGTTCTTAAAGGTCTGCTGTTTCCTAATAGCTTCTCTTTGAAACCTATATTCTTGCTACACTGTATATGTGATGGACCCTGAATGGTGATGCTCTCTTTTGCAAGCTTTTTTCCCGTCTGAGGTTCAATATCCTTGGGAGGCAGTCCCTGAAGGTGCCCTTCCTATCCATTTCTGTGGCTCGCTGTGCACATCTCAGTCAGAACATCTAAGGCACTAAATTTCAACTACTAGTTATTTCTCTCCTGGAGAAAGAATTGCATTGCTGGGCCTTCACACAGTGCATAGCATACTACTGGTGCCCAATAATATTTACTGAATAAATGAATAGGTGATGGAAGGTGATGCCTTTTACAAAGCAGATTCAATTCCCTGTCCTTTTCAACCTTCTCTGTGTTTCTGGGGAATATCACACATCCATCAACTAACGTCTTTATCCTACAATCATACTATATCCCACCATATTGCAGTTAATCTTTTGTATGTATTTCATCTTATAGACAACAATCTTCACACACACAAAAAAAAGAAACTATGTCTTATTTGTAATTGAATCCTCAATGTTTGTTGATTGAATGTGTGAATGAATGAGTATGAATGATCTGATATTCCTATAAGGCAATTAGATTTGTTTCCCATTGGTATTCTTGAAACATCTTGCCCATATTTTATTTCAAATGAAATCTGGATCACTCAAGTGTTGTTATAACCCACTGGATACCACATCCATTCTTCATGAATATTTATGATGCACATTTAACCCTATTTACTTGTAAATGCCAAAAGTAATTTATTCCAACAGAGTATCAGTGTCTGTGAAACATAATATACCCCATCTTTACTGATTCAAATTAAAATTCAGCAGCAGTTCTAAGAAAAAGCAATTTCGCTAATTTGTGTACAGGTTCAGAATTTCTCACAACTAAATTTTTGTCAAATTTCTTACCAATTAGAACGTCCACTTGTGCCCATGATGAAGTATCAGGAGTCAGTTATCCTATACTCAAACACTGGGCAAGATTCACAATGTAAAATGAAAACTTCCCAAAAGAAAGGAAGAAATGAGGTGAGCCCTATGACTGACTCTGCTTATTGCCTATGGTATTTCCAGGCCACACTGCAAGGAGGAGAAAGCCTCCCACAGACCTGGCAGTCTCGCTACATTAAGAAGTCAGAGAATCAAAGTTCAGGCAAGTGAAAGAAACTAGAATTTTCAGTAATGAACATCAGAAAGGACAAAGTTTCACAAAGAGAGCAAGAGTGTACCAGAGAGCTACCCAGCGTGCTCATACGGCTAAGAAGTGATCTCTGCACTTGTGAGAAAATACTACTGAGGCTGGAGAAGGAAGATGAAAAAGGAAGTCAAAGAGCAATAAGCTGAATAATGCCCAGAGGTCACACAAGTCATGGAAGAGTGCATTCCCACAAGCTAGAGTGGGAAGATCTTATAACACATGGGCCATTGGGTAGAGTCTTTAAAAGGCATTTCCTTAGTAGTTCAATTATATTACTTTAAATTGAATGCCACTCTGAATTTACCTTAAAGCCTAAGAATAATAAAGCCTAAAACTAAAGGAATACAATAAAATCTAGTACCCATGACACTTCAAATTTATGTTCTGCACTTATTCAAAAATTACCAGGCCTGGAAGAAACAGGAAAATGTGACATATAAGCAAGAGAAAAATCATTCAAAAGAAACAGACGCAGAAATGATAAATATTGGAAAGACCAATGAAAACTACTTCACATGTTCAAAAGGTAGAAGCAGGATGAAGAGAGAAATGGAAAATATAAAAAGAAAATCTAAATTGAACTCCTAGCAATAGAAAATATAATATCTTCAATGAAAATATGCTGGATGGATTTAATAGAAGATAAGAGACTGCAAGAGAAAAGGTTGTAGAAATTATCATAACAATGGGAAAATATTCAAAATTAAGTATTTAGATTAAAAGGACATAAAAGAGCCTGGGTCAGCTTGGTTCAGTGGTTAGAGTTTTGGTTTTGATTCCCAGTCAAGGGCTCATACCTTGGTTGCAGGTTCCGGCCCAGTGGGGGCGTGTGTGGGAGGTGACCAATCAATGTGTTTCTGTCATGTTGATGTTTCTCTCTCTCTATTTCTCTTTCTCCCTACTTCTTCCTTTCCAATCTCTATAGAAATTAATGGAAAAACAAACAAAAAAAGACAGAAAAAAAGAAGTGAACAGAGTACCAGTGACCTATACAAATATCATACATGTAATTTAGAGATACAGATAAATGGGGAGAAAAAAAAATATTTGAAGAAGAAAAAGAAGAAATAGTTGAGACATTTTCAAATTTGTAAAAACTGTAATTTACAGATCCAAGACAATCAATGAACCCCAAGCAAAATAAACATAAAGAAAACTTTGCCAGAGCAAATCACAATCATATTGCTAAATACACACACAAACAAAAAACAATGATAAGGAAAAACTCTAAAAAGCAGTCAGAGGAAAAAAGACTCAATAAATAAAGAAAAACAGAATTAAAAATGATCACAGTCTTCTCATCGAAAACCATGAGTGCCAGAAGATAAACAAACAACATTTTTAAAATATTAAAAGAAAAACAGAAATTGTAAAAATATGAAGAAAAAGTACTAATATGTTTTTATAATAATGCACTACTGATAATAGAAAGGCTATTCTGGATAATTTGGGGCTAAATATTTAATTTCATACATATATATATATATATATATATATATATATATATATATACCCCCACAGTTTTGGGAGATATGTGAAAAAGAGAAAGAGAAAGAGAAAGAGAAAGAGTTGAAATGACAGCCAACCATTCAGTGGACAACAGGACAACAAACCTACGGACACACTAAGGGAACTGGACATGTTGTGGGCTACCATATTTTATATAAGGAAGGCCTCTGATGAGGCGACAGGTTAGCAGACTCTGGAATCAAGTAAGAGAGTACCACATGTGAATATCTGGGTACAGTATTCCATGCAGAGTAATTAAGAGGAACAAAAATCCAGAGGAAAGAGAATGAGAAACAATGAGAAAGCAAGTGTTGCTGTAGATGAGCAATGAGGAATCTCAGAGAAATTTCCCAGACACATAGCGAGTCTTGTGGCACATTAAATACTTCATTGAATAGTTCTGAGTAAATTTGCCTTAAATTATAAAAGGTGCCTTCTGGCTGCTACTTTAAAAATAAAATATAAGACAATGTAGATGGAAGCTAGAAGACTGATTAGAAAGCCGTTACAATTTACCGGACAATAGAAAGCAGTGACTTGGACCAGGATGGTAGAACTAGTCATGATCCATGGTCAGTCTGTAGGGTGGATTTTTGTGATAGATGTGGAGACATAAAGTCAAAGATGACTCCCAGTTTTTGACTGGAGAAATGCAAGGATACAGCTGCTATTTACCTCCGCAGTGGGGAGGACTAAAGGAAGAATAGTCTAATGAGTTGTCACATGAAGCTCAGGTTTGGATTTGGAAAGTAGAGCTTGCTAAGACCAGTGCCCTGAAGACATTTGCTGCAGATGTTGAGTCCAAGCTGGGTAAATGAGCCTGGTGTTCAGGAGGGTTTCTGTCAAGCCTGAGGACATAAGAGCTACAAATACAGTCATTGCTATTCAGACAATTATTTACAGCCACGGGACAGAATGATATCACATGGGGAGCCAGTCAAAAGGAA